AGAAAAAGCGACAGGCCCACTCTCATCGCCTACAGCATCCCACGTCAGAGAATGAGGAGGTTTACCGCAGCCTTCGCTCGGAAGTTCGGAGAGCCGTAAGGCGCTGTAAGGATGGGTGGTGGTCGCGGGTTGCTGAGGAGATGGAGTCTGCCTCAGTGGCCCGTGATCACAAATCACTATTTAACTCCATCAAAAAAGTAACCTGCAGCGCCACACCTATTACCATCATTAGAGGAAAAAACGGTGATCCAATCTCCGACCCCCAGGAACAGGTTTACAGATTTGCTGAGCATTTCTGTGAGGTCCTGGGGGAGGTAAATTCTCTCAGCCAGGAAAACATCATGGCAAAAAGTGGTGATAACCCTGCTGAGGCTGCGGTGCCTCAAATATTGGAAGAGGTCACCCCCTGTGAGTGGCTGGCTGAGGTGCCAGCTGTTGAGGAAGTACTGAGGGCGATCCGGAGTCTGAGACCAGGAAAGGCACCGGGCAGAGATGATCTCCCAAGCGAAATGCTGAGGGAGGGTGGCGTTTGTGCACAGACTGCCCTATATGACATCATAACAACAGTGGACCACTGGACGGGTTCCGCAGGATTGGAAGAATGCCCTGGTGGTCTCCCTCTTTAAGAAGGGGGACCGCACAGACTGTAACAACTACAGGGGCATCTTACTCCTCAGTGTGCAGGGAAAGGTCCTGGCAAGGATTATTCAACATCGCCTTGCTAGGCAGCCATGTCCTCTGGCTCCCACATTATTTAACTTCTATTTTGACCACATAGTTCGTGAAGCCTTCAATAGCTGTACTGGGGGAATTTCCATTTGATACAGATATAATGGGAGCCTGATCGATGCCCGGGTGCGATCAAGGGATGGCTCCCTATTGGTCAACCACGTTATGTATGCCGATGATTTGGTAATAGCTGCTGATTCAGAGGAGGAGTTGTAGATGCTGCTGCTGAGACTGGAGCGTGCCACTAAGAGGTGGGGCCTTACCATCAGCCCCACCAAAACTAAGCACCTGCCTGGATATTTTGTACCATCGGACACTCCACCCCCACAACTCCCAATCGGTGATGGGGCAGTAGTGGAGAGAGTGGAGAGTTTCCCATACCTGGGCAGTGTGCTTATGACCGGCTCCAGTTTAACAGCAGAGGTCTCACTCCGAATCAGTCGAGCGGCAATATCTTTTCATCGGTTGCGTAACGCTGTGTGGAAGCTACCTGGTCTGTCGCTCCGCACGAAGCTTCAGGTCTTCTCGGCCACAGTCATTCCCTCCCTCCTCTACGCTTGCAAAATGTGGACCCCCCTAATGGAGCATCTTCGCCGGTTGGAAACATTTAGGCTGGCCTGGCTACGATCCATCCTGGGTTTAACCAGGCTGGATTGTGTGAGGAGCTCACAAATCCTTGAAAGATCTGGGCAAAGTCCCATCGGTGAGCTCCTCCGGCATGCAAGGCTGCGTTGGCTGGGTCATGTAGCCCGCATGCCCAGCCACCGCATGCCTAAACAGCTTTTGTGCGGCCGGATCGAGGGGGCTAAACGGGCGCGGCACGGGCTAGAGAAGAGATGGAGTGATGTGGTACAGGAGGACGTGGAGCTGAGTGGACTTGTCAATGACTGGTACCAGCGGTGTCAAGATCGGCCTCTGTGGAGGAGGCTCGTGAAGGACGCTGCCGGGCAGTTGGAGGCAGTCGCCCTCCAACAACAACGGAGGACGGAGGAGCGACGCTCACAACAACGAGCGGAGCGCAGGGTGGCTAAAGCACAGCAAGTTGGCACAGTAGGGGGCACAGGTGGTGCATCTGTAAAGTAGTAACTCGGCGGGAGACGTCTTCACGGGTAGCACACTCCTTTTTATTGACACCAAACTGTTACATGGGTGACTAACACTCACCCAGCCCCTTGGGTGACTAACACCCACTCAGCCCCTTGGGTGACTAACACCCACTCAGCTCCACGGGTGACTAACACCCACTTAGCTACACGGGTGACTAACACCCACTCAGCTACACGGGTGACTAACACCCACTTAGCTACTCGGGTGACTAACACCCACTCAGCTACTCGGGTGACTAACACCCACTCAGCTACTCGGGTGACTAACACCCACTCAGCTATACTGACACGGGCTCTTACGCCCCGTAGCCTTCCGGAACACACCCGGCTGGGGTGTCCGTCTCGGCTCTGGGTACCACCGTCCCGACCCACGCGGGCGTCGGACTACGGGTTCCCCAGTCTCGGCTCCGAGCCACACAGGGCCCCGGTCCCGACAAGGACAGCGGGACTAGGGGTCTCGGGCCACTACCTCCTCCACTCCGTCTTCGGTCTTCAACTGGTTAACACTGACCACGAGTGCTCTCGCGCGTCTCCCTTTATACCCCTCCTGCGGACGTCGCTGAGAACACCCATCTTATTGACCAATCACTGCGCGCGCTGGCTACGATCCTCTTTTCCCCGATTGTATCAGCGCGCCTCACCACCGGCGTGCGCGTTCATACCACGCCCACATCGCGTGCCCAACCCCGCGCCCCGTGATCCATCACTGTCGGCGCACGTCAACACCACCACTACACATCAAACAGTCATCCCAGTCAGTCGACCCGTGGCACCTGGGTCTGCCCCGTGACCCCCTGCCAGCGGGCGTTCGACACTTCACGTGGCCTCAAGGTGCACATGGCCTGGCACAAGTGTCGTGGTGACGTCACTGCCACTTAGTGGCGAATGGCGGTTGTTGTTGTTGTGTCATTGTGTCAACTGACAATGATGGACAGACAACCTTGCGAGCGAGATGTTGCCACTCGACAATGAGGCACTCCAGTTGCCAGACAGCGAGAGAGCTTCAAGGGGCGGTGGCCCTGGCTCAGACAACGCCATTGGCAGGAACACAGCAGGGCAGCCACCACCACAACAACAACAACAACCATGTCAACAGAGCTGCCACGCAGCACGACATTGTACATCGAGCCCAATGCTAAGGAGGCTTCATCATCGTCATCACCACAGCAGCGACGATTCACCACTCTGCTGCGATACTCCTCACGCAATCACCGGGCTCATCAACCACCCCGCATGTGTGAATTAGAGCTGCCGTCAGCCGGCACACGGACGCGGTTGGGTTTCATCTGCTACGCCGGGTGTCGGACACCGCGCCGTCAAATCACCCCTGGGAAATCTAGCCGCTGGAATTGTAACAACCAAATTGCAGTTGTGACTTGTGTCAAAGCGGCGGCGAAACGTCGCGCAGAAATCACCGCGCGGACCGTCATCGAAGTCAGATCTGTCTCTGCGTTGCGAGGCCGTCGCCTTGAAGTCAACATTGGGGGGGGGGGGGGGCAAATCTGGGGGTCCCCCCCCCAGAAAAAAAATCTAAATTTGAAAACGAATTTCCTGCCATTTCCTCACCTGAGGACGGCTGCTTGCGTTGGGGCCGAAACGTCGTGAGAATTTTTATTATTTTATTATTTCCATTCTACGTGACTTTACCGAAAGAACCAAGAAGAGAAATATAACGTAATAAAGGCTTTAGGGTTAGTTGAAGACGCCCGTGAGCGCCATTGTTGGTCGCTGGGTGAATGTGGCTAATTAACTTTCCATGGTTGATTGATTATCAATCGCAAATCAGCCCGTTTTCACCAAAAAAAACTTTGTTTCAACTCGACAGTGATATAGCCTACGTGACACTCACATTACATTCTTGTTTTCCACTTTTTAATCAATTTTTAAGTAATGAAATGGAGAGACAGGGCAGTGTTTGACATTGATTGTACCGACCCACAGCAGTTGAGCAACAGCTTCTGCTGGGGTACGACAACACGACTTGGACAAACCACTCGCAGAACTGCAGTAACACCGTAACACTAGAACCGGCAGTAATGATAATGGAAATTTGTTAAGCTTAGTTATGATTATGATGACATTTGCTGATGATTATTTCGAACGGCGGTGAGTGTTTGCCTGTCGTAGCATAGCAATCATTTATTAATTATATTTTTATATCAATATATGGGGGGGGGCATTTGTTCATATTTGCTGCATTGAGCAATCGGTTGCAGGGACGTCCACACCGAAGCGACTTGAGTCGCAGGCAACCAGGTTGCAAGCGACCGCACCGCTCAGGGCTTTGTAGAGGAGCGCGGCTCCCTCGCCCTGCAGAGCCCTTGACACATCTCCCGGCGCTGCGAGATGAAGACGCCGTGGACTTAACAAGTGTGAAATTGTTGCATCGAGGCCGGCATTCATCGGCCTCGATATGATTTGTCACGGGCATTATCATCAGCATCAATCGACCATGGCCGATCCACTTCTTGACGAAGGCGCTCCCTTCCCTCCCACCCATCCACCCGAGCCATCGCCAAACATCTCTCACAGCCAATGTCCACCGTGCGCCAACCTCCATCCTCCGCTGCGATGTGGCGCCTGCTCACAAACGAAGGGGCTCTTGTGTGAAAAGAAACCTCAAGCAGCCGCTTGCCCAGCTGCACGCTTCAGCCGCTAATGAGATGGCCATTAAGGCGAGCGCGCGTCCAATTACAGGCACAATGTAACCGCTCTCACCCAAATGAAGCACACGCCGGTACGAGAGAGGCGCCCGCGATCACAGCGCGTGATGCATTTTGGATTTATTTTTATTGTTAAGATGCGACCGATGATGTCCCCATCTGGTTACTTATCAAAGACTTCGCTCCCACCCATCACCCCCGAAAATATAATTGTGTACCTGGTAATAGATGCCCACACGCAGATACACACGCACGCGTTTTAAAGAGTAATGCTGCGTTGTGCATAGCAACGTCACAATTGCACCGCTACCAGACTTAAAAGAAAAATACATAATTGGTTCTTTACCCTTCTATCTGGCAACAAAACTGACACCTTTTTGCAAGGAGTCATGTTTGCATAGACCGCAATACCTGCAGTCATAAATACAAACAAAAGACATAACTCTGATAATGTGCACTGTCCTTGCACATTATCAGAGTTATGTCTTTTGTTTGTATTTATGACTGCAGGTATTGCGGTCTATGCAAACATGACTCCTTGCAAAAAGGTGTCAGTTTTGTTGCCAGATAGAAGGGTAAAGAACCAATTATCATATTTTTACTGGCAAATGAGGTCCCCATAGAGAAAAATACATCCCAAAAAAAAAATTTGAAATTTTTTTTAAACCTACGGTGTCGTGTCGAGGCAGAGTCACGCGGCGTTCCATCGACTATCGGTACACCGGTTGTACCATGAGCCACAAAGTACACACGTACTCAGCGTCGGGGGGGGGGGGGGTGACACCTTAAAGCCGTACACGGCGCACGGATGAACACAATCACGGGCCACCACAAACCTAGACCCTATCTTCCAACCCCCCCCCGAAAAAAACCAAATTCCTCCCAACGTTGTCTTAACGTTTGGCGAAATTGAGTCGCCCACCCAGTCCACAACGACGCCTCCCATGGGATTTCGATGATAATTTTTGGCCCTTTCCTGCTGTCGCGTAACCGCGACACGTGATACATAAGTTCAATTTTCTTTGTAAATGTTTTATTGCCGTATCCTTGATAAATATTTCAACTTTAGTATTCTATTTAAGGCCCGGGTTTGCGAGAGCTTCGAAGGCTCTTGTCAGTTTCTGGAGTCCAATTCTCTCTCGAGGTGTCAAGTCACTGCAAAGCCGTCCGGCGGCGGTGGCGGCGGTGGTGATGTTGCTGCTGGCCTTACATGGGCAGTGGTGCGCACGCCACAACATCAAACCCTATAACAACGCGGCACACGGTCGCTCCACCTCTCCAGCCTCTCTGTGTGCTGCCAAGGGCCGTTGCCCAAAACGTCGAGAACAAACTCTACGCGCTCTTTTAAGGCCACACACGTGCGGAGGTGATATTGACGAAGGCGCGAAGAGAGGTGTTTCGTCCATCGAGCGTTGCGAACTCCGCGAGGCATCTGACCGCCTCTCGCGCACGGTGGAGAGGGGTTGGGTTGGCTCCCTTCGTGGGCAACGGCATCAGCGATCTCTGAAGCATCCCTCAGGCCCGCACCTGTATCGACGATACAAAACTCGGGTGGCTACCGACGCAATTAAAAAACTTTCCAATTAAAATCTGGCCAGCATGAGACGCAAGTCCGCGGCGGTCTCACTGCAGGCCCACGATCTGAAACGTTTCAGATCCCTCAATGCGCACGTTTTTGGGACGAGTGCTGTTAGCGAGCACCTATGAAGCCACACACACACACCACCACTATGCGCACACGCGCGCGCTGCCGCGTGCGCACCCATCCATTAGCACGGTTGGCTACGTATGGTGCGGAAGAAGTTCATCCTACATACATACTCGGACAAGACGAACCTGCACACGCACTGCACGGCATTCGACGGGACGAGTTAAATTGCGCATTCTCACCGAGTGAGTAGTGGTGCCAGTGGCGGTGAGATAACAAGCGTGATGGAGGGGTGGGAATAGCGTTCTAAAAGACCCGAGCTACAGCGCCACCACTCCTCCGGCGCTCCGCTAACAGAAGCCCACAGGCGCCGATCGCCTCCGCTCGATTTTCACCGATATTCTATTAAAATTAAAATGGCACCGCAAATCCTCGGCAAGGATTTGCGGCTACTGAGTCGCTCCGACACCCGAGGCATCAAGCTGGCGATGCGTTCCCGAATTTCGGGAATATTTCGGATGATTCCGGAAACCGGGACTCGATACGAAATTTCTGACGTTTCGGATTTTTATCCAAAGGGGAAATGACGTCACTGAGAATGACGTCATGCCCGCCATGCTTCAACCAAAAATGGCGTCGCGTGGAATCAGATGACGTCACTTTAGTGAGCACCAAACTGAAAATTACAACAAGAACAGATGATGTTAAATCGGAAACTCATTGCTAACACACGTATACACACCCAGGCCTAATGAGCGTTGGGGGGTGATACAAATCTACCAAAGTCCCCCCATAAAATAATGACAAGCAGAGCTAATTGACACCATCACTTACAAGCAGGCTGTGTAACACGATTAGTATCGTGGTGATAAACAAACAATGCACGCCACAGCAATCTAACAGATTCCTACAACACATACCAACGTCATTTAGTATCATTATTACCCTTGCTTACCCAGGAAAGCCTCACCCAGTCTCAACTCTTTTTCATGAGGGTCCTGCCAAGGTTGTCAAAGTAGGGGGCGGCCGGGAGGGGTGATGATCGCTGCTGCTGCTTGTGTGATTGTGATCCCGACTGAGAGGTCTGCGGTGAGATGTTTCAGCACCTGGAATGTTTGGGAGACTCCCCGCACCCACCACGTCGCGAGGACGGAGCGTCAGCTTCCTCGCTCGTACCGCGACCCGCTTCTACCCATGCGGGCTGACAGCGCCAGTCTCACCACGGCACCGTCACGGCACCGTCACGGCACCGTCACCGTCACCGTCACGGCACCATCCAGGAGGCCTCCCACAACGAGGGGCTCGCTGGTTCACGCAACGAGCACTTCGCCACCTACGCAGCGGTCGATGATGATGTTGACGACGACGACGACGTTTGGGCCAAAACCTCCGAGCGGATCGACGCTCGTAGGTCGCGTCAGTCTCTACTGCGAGCGGCCGATTGCGGAGACGTCAACGCGACCGATCGTTTAGGCGTGGGTGGACCCCGCGCTGTCCTTCTTCCCCTTATCTCGGCGGCGCTGCGAGTGATTCTCGTTACAGATGCGGGGCTATCGGTGTGTGTTTAAGGCTTCAGCCTCGCTGGGGACAAGTGCTTTGCCCTCCAGTCTGTGGGTGTAAATTGTTCTGGATAGGTCACACTGAGAAAACAAGAGACCCTGCTTGGGCGTGCGGAGCGAAGAAGCCGTTACCCGGCCGCCTAATCGTCGCCGGTTTAACAAAACGTCACGTCAACGGTCCCCTTAAAAAACGCACAATAACGCTGCGAGAGTCTTTAACGCGCAGCGCTACCATCTCATCGCGCCGCGTACATTATTCTAGCGTCAAGGTCTCTCCTGACGCTTTGCCGCTTGCTCAGAAGCCCGATGGCAATTTGCGAAAATAGCCCCCCAGATTATTTCACTTTTACGGAGTGCAGCAATCCCGGTGTTCAATCCCATCACATACGAACGATCGGCGCGACACTGAGCAGTGCAAAGGGTCAGAGTCACCGGTCGCAGACATTCTTCATGATTTGCCACGTTTCGGAATCGTGAGTAGATCCAAAAATCAATTTGAAAAAATAAAAACATTGTGGCGGACGTAGCGGTTCACTCGTCGCTACCAGAATCGTGAATATTAAAACGAAGACATCGGTTCTAACGCGCGTGGTTCTAACGCGCGTGGTTCTAACGCGCGCTGTGAATCCGGCCCCGGAACCAAACGGAACCGGGTTTCAATCGCTCCCGACATCGAGCAGCTTAATCGTCGCCTGTGACGGCTTCTGTCCGCGCCCCTGGGCGAGTAGTTGAGCAGCTGGCACGTGGTGCGTGGGCTGCTGTGCACGTGACCACGTCCCTGACGGTTACGTGAAGAACGAGCTCATCGGCAATGGTTACATTTAGAGGTTTTGTTTGGGTTCGATCGCGTAAATATAAACGGTGTCGTGAAACCTCGCCACCGCCCCGACACGGCCGATAAGCGAGGGGTTTGTCACATAAACAAAACGTAGCCAATTCGTTACTAGTTCAGCACACACCGGCTGTGCGTCGCAGAGTTAACCCACGATGACATTTACAATTCGAGTACCGTGACGTGTCGCCAGTAATTACAACAACCGCCATTGCCGGGCGGACAGCCAGAGAGATGTGGAGAAAGTCCTCCTCCTGTTTCGGCCTTAAGTTCCTTTTTGACATTCGCTTTGCGCCCGAGGGTGAAACCACGCTGCCACCCACCCTTGTCCCCCAAAATTGACATTTCATGTAGAATTTGTGACGCGCGCACGCACGCACACAGGTTTCGTTTTACCGCCTTGGAGAGAATTATTCACAGGCACAGGAAACTACAGACGCGCCTGGCGAAGGCAGCCAGGATGGGTGCCAAACGATTGCCCGAGTTCTGTTGTCCTATATTGCGGTGTTTGGCCAACTGCTGAACATGTCATCATCGTTGTCGTCGTCGTCATCATCATCCTCGGCCTTGGTCAATCCACTGCTGGATGAAGACCTCTCCACAAGCCTTCATCCACCGCCCCTGCCGCTTCCCCACCCTAACGATAACCGACGCAAACTAAGAAAATCAATAAAATCCACGTAACAATCATAAATACATGCAACGCGATGATTACATTCGTGAAGGTAAAACGAGGCGATAAATACGCGCAGAGCGCCGGCGTGGCACCACACGCGCGTGTGTCGCGCTCACGCCAGCGAACCAAACACGCGTGCGCACGCACGCACACGTACAGAGACACACGGACGTACACGCACACAGACGAACATACACACGCACGCAGACACGCACACACGCACGAACACGTACAAACACATAGATGCACGCACACACATGTACAAAGACGCACGCACGCACACAGACGTACACACACACACAGACGTACACACACACAGACGTACACACACACAGACAGACGCACACGCACCAGCAAACCAGGCCACACACACGCACGACCTCGTGACTGCCGTCTTCCGCAGCTCCGCGGAACCTCCTGCACGTCCGCTGGGGCTGAACGCGCGCCGAGGCTAAATCACCCCAGACCCGTTGTGTTGCTTTCTCTTCGCGCGTTCACGTAGAGCACCTTTGAGGAGATGGGGGACCATGATGGGAGATCATCATGGGAACATCAAAACGCCACCGCGCTCGGGACTGGAATTCCTCAACCCGAAGCGGACGGGGCGGTACGGGAGGGCGGCCCGCATCGATCACGTCGCTACGGCAACGCGGGCATCCCACGATGCCCGCGTTGCCGTAGCGACATCGCCGACGCTGGGCAACGGCCGGCACGGTTTTGTTCAAGCGAGCAAAGAGAGACGCGACGCGCGTGCGTCGTGGCGCGTCCCGACGGGGTTATTTGGGGCCTTAGGAGATTCCTCGAGGACGTGCGGAAGGCACGGGACTCGATATTTAAATTAAAGCCGCTCCGTTCCAACTGAAGAGGAACACTGGGCAGCATGCGACGATCGCCAATTAAAACCACCGACGCCCGTGCTCGCGATCGGCGCGCGACGATCGGGGTGCGTCCGGTGAGCAAGAGCGGCTCGCGAATCGGTACCTTCGGGGCCGCCGACGAGACCGGGAAATCAAACTGGGGACCGGCGTTCGCGGCGGCCGCCACCGAGCGGAGGACCTCAGGCCTGGTCGCGCGAACGCCGCGTCGAAAGTAACGCGCGCAAAAACCTTCGACGGGTAACGTTTGGGGTAAAATGGAAGTCCACGGCGGTGGCGGCGGTGGCGGACGGTGGCGGATGGTGGCGGACGGTGGCGGATGGTGGCGGGTGCGTGCGGTTGGGCCTGGCGGGCGTGCGCGTGAGCGACGGGGCTGGCGCCCGCTCTAGGCGTGAAGGCCGAGGAAGGCGGAGAGCGCCAGGCCGGGAGGCTCGAACACCCGGTGCTTGTTCACCACGCGCGTCTGGCGGCGCCCATCGCGATTGCAGCCTGCGAGGGAAGGCCGGCGCTTTAAAACCGTCGTGCGATTGTCGCCCGCGCGTTTGCGTGCTCACTCGCTCGCTCACGAACTCGCACACTCACACACCTACTCACACACTCACAAACTCGCACACTCACAAACTCGCACACTCACAAACTCGCTAACTCAGACACCCACTCACACACTCACGAACTCGCACACTCACGAACTCGCACACTCACACACCTACTCACACACTCACACACTCGCACACTCGCTAACTCACACACCCACTCACACACTCACGAACTCGCACACTCACGAACTCGCACACTCGCTAACTCACACACCCACTCACACACCTACTCACACACTCACAAACTCACACACTCGCTAACTCACACACCCACTCACACACCCACTCACACACTCACGAACTCGCACACTCGCTAACTCACACACCCACTCACACACTCACGAACTCGCACACTCACGAACTCGCACACTCGCTAACTCACACACCCACTCACACACCTACTCACACACTCACAAACTCACACACTCGCTAACTCACACACCCACTCACACACCCACTCACACACTCACGAACTCGCACACTCGCTAACTCACACACCCACTCACACACTCACGAACTCGCACACTCACGAACTCGCACACTCACACACCTACTCACACACTCACAAACTCGCACACTCGCTAACTCACACACCCACTCACACACTCACCAACTCGCACACTCACACACCTACTCACACACTCACGCACTCGCACACTCGCTAACTCACACACCCACTCACACACTCACGAACTCGCACACTCACGCACTCGCACACTCGCTAACTCACACACCCACTCACACACTCACCAACTCGCACACTCATGCACTCGCACACTCGCTAACTCACACACCCACTCACACACTCACGCACTCGCACACTCGCTAACTCACACACCCACTCACACACTCACCAACTCGCACACTCACACACCCACTCACACACTCACCAACTCACACACTCACACACTCACCAACTCGCACACTCGCTAACTCACACACCCACTCACCCACTCACGAACTCGCACACGCACACTCCCACTCACACACTCACCAACTCGCACACTCACCAACTCGCACACACACACACCTACTCACTCACACACCCACTCACACACTCACCAACTCGCACACTCGCTAACTCACACACCCACTCACACACTCACCAACTCACACACCCACTCACACACTCACCAACTCACACACCCACTCACACACTCACGAACTCGCACACGCTCCCACACTGAAAATTGGTCCATAGAGATTTTGGAGGAAAAAATTCGTTTCGGATCGATCTGAAGCTGCGACGTCACAGCAAGCGCCGTTGCTCGTGTGTTTGAACGCCTCGCGTGCCACTCTGGCTCAGTTCGATTAGCGCAGTTGGCGACGTATGGCGCGAAAGAAGTTCAACATAGATATATACATAAAAACATTTCGTTAAAATTATTGCTTTACCACCGAAGCTTTACATATTTATAATAGCAATCGAACAATAAATAATTAATTAACACAATAATAATTATTCCAATTAGTGCATAACCACATGATCTGTTGTTTTGCCGCAATCGCTAAAATACAGAAGCTGAGAAAAATAAATCGTCCATGTCAAATCCTCGCTTAGCGGTGCTCAAGCTCGCGACCCGCCCTGCCCCCCGCCCCCCCGCCCCCCGCCCCCCCAACCCCCGCCCCCCCAACCCCCGCCCCCCCCACCCCCCCCACCCTCACCCCCCGCCCCCCCACCCTCACCCCCGTCCCCCCCAGTGGCTTACTGGAGGAGGCGAGGTCCAGGTACTGGCACAGGCCGTGAAGTAGCATTCGCTCAAAGCTGCAACACACAGGGCACAACCAGGAGTCATATAGCACGCCGGGCGGCAGCAGTGGTGGTGGTGGCAGTGGTGGTGGTGGTGGTGGTGGCAGTGGTGGTGGTGGCAGTGGTGGTGGTGGTGGCTACGCTGCTCTCTGCTACACCTGGCCGCCTGTAGTTGTCCAGCGCTGTGGAGGCAGCGGCAGCAGCAGCAGCGAGGGTTCGTGGGTCACGCGCAGACGTTGTGAAACCTCCATCCCGTGGGCATCAAAGAGGTGCGCTAGTCTGGCTCGCCAGGAGAAGGCGGTACCGTACACTGCTGCCCGTGGACTAATCGCCACCCGTTTCCGTCTGTACACGGGGGATCGAGCGTTGCCTCCTCGAACAAAGGCGTGGGTTTTCACGTGTCGAAGAAACACGACTCACCATTCATTGGCCGAAAACATCTCACGAATAAAAACCCCAAGGTCCTACAACTCCTGGATCAATAAGTCAATTATTATTGTTGTCGTGAATAAATTATTGATATTATAAGACACCGCTGAAAACACGGCGAACTACGCGTGGCCAGAACTGGGATCGTAACCGAGGATTCTCAGCGATGCCGGCTACCTTCCCTGACTATGAGCGACCCGTCACACGTTCACAAGGTCATAGGTCAGAGGGTGACACGTTCACAGGGTCATAGGGTCACAATGTCAGGGGCACACGCTCACAAGGTCACATGGTCATAGGGTCACGTGCCGCCGATCGCTGAAAGGAGCGGACGACGGCTCCGTGTGTCGAGCTCCCATCGCCCGGAGGGCGGTAGTTTTTTGGCCTACTCTTCCACGCTACGGAGACGTGCTGGAAGAGGCAGGGGCACCCACATTTTACCCCCACCACCACCACCACACGTGACGTGCCGATCAACTTTACTGCGGTGAACCCGTTCCTGCTGCTGTTTGTGTGGTAACAGTGGGGGGCAGCGGGCCCCCCCGAATTTCCAACCTGCCACACCGGGACTTGGAGTCGAACCGGCGACCGCGCTGATTTTGCGAGTGCAGCGGCGCCGCTGAAACCCATCCGACACCGCCGTGTCTGGCTGCCCCTCTGCCGAGATGGGGAGGAGGTGTTCACACTTCACGCGTAACACCTCCGGGCCAATTTTCTCACAAAATCTCCTTGCAAATTACAAAGGACCCCAATTAGAGCGAGAGCGGTGAAGGGTGCGGAGAGAGAAGAGAGGAAGAGAGGAGAGGGTTTGGGGGGGCGGGGGGATTGTGGGGGTTGAGGCTGCACCTGTTCTCAAGCATGGCCAGGTACACAGCCTCTGGGCAGGAGCAGAAGAAAGTGGTCACATTCTCCTCCAGGAACTCCAGCGTACCCTGCGCGCACACACAAAGACAAAGATCCCCCGTATAGCCTTAGCAGACTGTATGGGCGAGGGCTGTTGGCGAGCACCTATTAAGGCCGGCACGGCGCGGTGACGCTGACGCACCGGCTGTTCACTTGAGGTCGAGACGACCCAGGGGAGGCCCAGGATGAGATGTGAACCGATCCGGGCCTGTGACCGGCGTGGTGAAGTACGGTGAAACAACACCCGTGAGCGGCACGGGGCTTGGGGGGGGGGGTGGTGGGGGCCTTCGTCGAGCAGCGACGACGATGGGGCACGGCCGCCATGACCCGTGACCCATGACCCGTGACCCATGGCCAGTGACCCATGACCCATGGCTTGTGACCCATGACCCATGACCCATGGCCCGTGACCCATGACCCGTGACCCATGACCCGTGACCCATGGCCCGTGACCCATGGCCCGTGACCCGGCGTGCTGGCGGCAGCAGCGAGGCCGGCCGGGAGGATCGTCCCAAAGTCCTCGAACGAGAAATTGTGGCAGTTGGGTCCGGGAGGGCCCCGACGAGCAATGCCGGCGCAGTGTCGCGTCCGAGCGACGCCACGAGTGAAGTGAGCTGCGGGGTTCAGTTGTCAAATTTGGCCGAATTACCCAGGGAAGCCTCACCGAGTCTCAAGACTCTTTGCGGAGAGGTGGGTCCTGCCGGGTTTTTCGCGTTACGGGGCGACGCTGGATCGTGTTTCCAGATGACGTAAATTCGCGAGGTTCATTCTTCAAACTGGGCCAATCTGGACCGTGACGCCGGCCACAAGCGCAGCGGCATTAACCAGGGCAGCCGCCTGTGTTCGAACCGCGAACCTTCCCCGACGAGCGGCGGGCGCTCAACGAGATAAGCGAGAGCGCTTAAACCGCCGCCGCTGTCGATCTCGTGGGCGAGCAGGAGAGATTGAAACCGTGATCGCCGCAATCATCCCGCGGCGCTCGGGAGATTAAGGACAAATGGCTGCGGCTTGCCGGGCTCCGCTTGCTCCGCTCTCCTGGCAGCGGCCACCGCTCACCCCCCACCTTCACCAAAACCACGTTGCCCACATTCCTGCTCATTACCCGTCCCAAATCTCAAGAAGACTCCATGCCCTGTGTTTATGTACACGTGTGTGTGTGTGTATCAATTCCGTTAGAACGGACTCGTCACGCGACGATCCATCTCTCACCGGGGAATTTAATAGAATTTTTTTTTTTTTTACAAAAATATTTTTCTCCAACGTAACCGAAACAAAACAACGTACTTGAGCTGGTGCAGCCCGGAACGGCACCGCTCGCCAGGGCCACCGAGCAGTGGCCCTGGCCGCAGCGTGGGCCGGCACGGGTCCCGGCGCAAGCCGCAGCGTTTTTCGTCGAGCGGCACGGGGTGGGGGGGGACAATCGGGGGGGTGCGGGGGGGGGGTTAGGGGGGTGTGGGGCTCACCAGGGGAACTCGCTTCTTGCGCAGCGTCAGGCGGATGTGCTTGTCGATCCGGTCGTAGCACTCCTTGGGGCTGTACGGCAGCGGCTCTGCCGGGGAGGAGACGCCACAACCGCGAGTGGCCGCGTTCAACTTCTTATTCGTTCCCTCTCACCGTCTCTCTCTGTCCCCCAGTTTCTATAACCCACTTCACCTATTCAGCTATTTTACGTAAATAACGATGAGCGCGCCGCCGTACCGTGGGTGGCGCCGTGCGGGTCGAGTTTGCTCCCCACCGCCTCCTCCACGTCGAGTCCTCGCAGGAGCCGCTCCTGCTCCTCCCCGGGCCGGTTCATGAAGTCGTTCCAGATCTGCAAGCGCAGTGTAACCGCCGTCACCGCATCTCGCAGACGGTGGGGGGGGGGGGGGTGTCCCTCTCTCTCCCCGGCTCTGGGGAGGGAGGCGAGGGAGGTGGGGAGGTGGGGAGGTGGGGAGGTGGGGAGGTGGGGAGAGTCCCCGTACCTGGATGTAGTCCTCCTTGGTGAGCACCTCGGAGAAGATGGAGTTGGGCCTCGCGTCGCTCTCGTCCGCGTCCTCCGCGCCGCAGGGGTCCATCTTGTCCACGAGGTTCATGAGGTAGTGAGCTGCACGCGTGCGGGGCGACACGCCGCCAACGCCGCCGTTCAAGAGGCGCCTCTCGCTACGGACGCGCCGGTTCCGTTCACATCTCCCGGCGCGGCTCGAGAGGTTTTGTTTTTGCCGCCACGGAAGCCGCGTCTACGCGTGCGCGCCGCCTGCTCGCCGCCCGCACCGCTCGTTCGACAGGCGCGGAGCCGCCGGTGCCGTGGAAACAACGACGCCGGTGCCTCCCGTAAAAAAAAGGAAAAAAGGAGGCATCGGCGGGCGGCGCTCACCGTTCTCCTGCCGGCGCAGGCGCTGGCGCCCCTTGCCCTGCCGCACGAGGTCGGAGTTGCGCACGGCGCGGTTGACGTAGAACTGCTTGCGCCGCGTCGCCGCCGCCGTGCGCTTGGCCGGCGAGGCGCCCGGCTCCCCGGCCTCCCCGGGGCCTTTCTCGCCGGCGCCCGGCCGGCTCCGCCGGGAGGCACGGCGCACGCGGGGGTTAGCGGGGGCTAGCGGGGTCTAGCGGGGGCTAGCGGGGGTTAGCGGGGGCTAGCGGGGGTTAGCGGGTGGCTAGCGTGGTTAGCGGGGGCTAGCGGGGGTTAGCGGGGGCTAGCGGGGGTTAGCGGGGGCTACGCGGGGTTAGCGGGGGCTAGCGGGGGCTAGCGGGGGCTAGCGGGGGGGGGGGGGGAGCGGCAGGCAGGGCGGTGGTGGTTGTGGTGTCGATTCCTGACTCGGGCACCTTTCTGCGTGAGAGGAATGTTCTCCCCTGCGTCCTGCCGAGTGCGAGTTCGTGTGAGAGTGTCTGAGTGCGCGCATGAGAGTGCGTGAATTTGTAAGAATGGAGAGCGGTAGTGTAGTGGTTAGCGTGCGGCGTTACGATCCCGTAGCGATGAGCACAGTGAGATACGTACGGGGCGAAGATAGTTCAACGTACATACATACAGACACACCCGAGTTCAATCCCGCTCACAGCCAACACCAGTGACCATTAAATGAGGACCTGATACAATGTGTAGACGTCGACACTGGGGAGACAAAGGCGGCCGGGCACTTGCCACAACAGTCTGTTAAAGTCTAGATTTGAAGCTTTCGTGACTGCAGGAATCCATACTCTTTGGTTCTTTCGGTAAAGTCACGTAGGTAGAAAAATAAAATAAATCACGTTTCCATCGCAACACAAGCAATCATCATCAGGTGGGAAACCACAGCAAGGCTACATGGGGGATCTTTGTCGTGTGTGCGAGTGTTGTCAATGCAAGGAACAAATTGCCTAACCCAATCAGCCTCCTTTCCCATATGTGTACCTCCAAATAAAAAAAAACGCCTTCTGAGCACATCTCATCAGCTGCACGGCCTTCTGGGAGTCCATTTGTCTGTCCTAATAACAACACACACCCTGGTGAAGTGCCAGATGTTCTAGGCGAGGACCTCCCTCCCCCCGCCAGATGTGGTCCCTGCTTCGATGCAGGACCGCAACGGCGCAGAGTTGACGTGGAGTGTCATTGTGTCGGCCAACGGACCGGACGAACGATGCGTCCGCCAGCACCGTTGAAGCTTTGCTGGCGAGACACTAAATGTTGAAACCGGTCCGGGAGTCTGGGCCCGCGTTTGGCGAATGCTGCCGAAAGAATTGCACTCCCAGAATGCCGTGTGCGGCCCGATGTGAAGTGTAAACATTTATACACATTTGTAAGTTTTATAAGGGGAGAGACAAACGTGGCGTGGAGGCGTATTTATCGTCTGCTGATCTCCCGTTTCAAAATAGACGGTCCGATCTTTCCGCCACAGCACGCACAATGCGCACGCAATACGCAAATTACACAATTCGCCTTTTCCGAAGTCCACAGACATGAAATGCATCGCGGGGAGTTGCTCAACTGGGAGAGAGGGGGCGAGGTTCCTCGTGTGTGCGGTGGCGTAGCGGATGGTGAGCGCTGCGCTACGAACCCGGTGACCCCGGACGATTATCTGAACCGGTCCTGGGCCTCCCCTAGGTCGACTCGGCCTCAAATGAGTACCTGGTGCGGTGTGTAAACATCGTCGCTGGGGAGACAAAGGCGGTCGGGCGTGGTGCTGGCCACCCATGACCTCGTGTACTGTTCCGGCCTTCATAGGTGTTCCCGAACAGCACTTGCCCCAACAGTCTGTTCAGGCTATACGGGGGATCTTTGTGTTGTACTCTGCCATGTTGTTGTAAGATTAATGATGACGAGTTGTGTTTATTACACTGTGTAATAAAACAAAACTGTTCCTGGGTAGTGAGTGTTATTTCCTAATTGCTTATGCCTCAAAAGTACAGAAAGTGGTTATTATTCCCCACAAACTTTGCTTTTGTGACCAGGACAGTGATATTTTGAAATTTACCTATTTTCAATGAGAAAAACGCGGTGTGAATTTGTGTCATTCCTTCACATAAAGTCCTGGTCACAAATGCAAAGTTGGTGGGGAATAATAGCCGTCTTCTTTACTTTTTAGGCATAAACAATTAAAAAATAACACTTAGTACCCAGGAACAAAAACTGTGTTACATAGTGTGATTATAGCGCGCGTCGGAGGAGGAGGAAACCGGAGCACCCGGAGAAAACCCAAGCCTAGCGCGAGGGAGCAACGCTCTATCCCCCGCGCACAAATGCTGCGACGCCTTCACCTGGCGAGCCAGGTGAAGGCTCCTCCGCAGCCCGACTGTGTGCGATCCACCACCCTCGCAGCCAGCTGCATGGCCACCACCGTCTCCGCTATCCTCACGACACCAACGTGGACATTATCACCGAAACGTGGACCGTGCGGGTCTTCGAGCACGTTCACAAAGGCGCGATCAGTTACCGCTCGCCGCTGACGTTTAGCCGTGGCTGCGAATCGACACTCGGGTCGACAAGTTCATAAGGCGGCGCGCTAAGCGTTGCACCACTGCCCCCCCCCGCCCGCCCGTGTAGCAACAATGACAATCACGCAACGTGCATCTGAAGCCAGGCGCTGGGGGCTGGACCGTCACGTCGCAGGGTCGCGAGATGATGCGGTGGTGGTTTGGAGAGGAGGGCGGCTTGACCAGGGCTCGTGGCAATGAGCGCGTTGTACTTGAGGCAGGATGGAGAGACAGTGCCATTGTCGTCACTAATGGCCTAGGGCGGAGGTGGTGAATCATTGACAGTTTTTTTTGATCTTTCGTGCACAAGGCTGTCCCATGACACTGCCAAACACTCACTCATTATCTTGTAAAGTTTAAACTCGTTGCAGTCGTCATCATCATCATCCACCGATCCACTGCTGGATGAAGGCCTCCCCAAATCGCCGTCATCACCGCTCGCGATACCGCGATGTAACAATCTGCACGAGGAGCCGATTTGATCATCGGTCCGTCTCCACGGCGGACGTCCTCTCAGAACGCGTTCCGTTCCTCCGATGCCGCTCCGTTATTAATCTCGACCATCGGCCACAACCGCCCCTTCTGGTCATGGCATTAGAAGGTCGCACTCGTTACCCACAAAGCACGTGCCACAAATGACCCACAATGCCTTGCTGATCTCGTCATCACGCAAACTCCGATCATCCCTCGCAGCGGCTTTTGGACTGACCATCGTATCGCGCATTTTCAGATGCACTTCTGCTGCAGTCCAGAACGCTCTTCCGATATGCACTTGTGAATCGAGATTGCAAACTCATTTCTTGAAAACTGCTTTCAATGTTTAGTTTGTTGTCGATCCACCGCACCTCCAATTAGCAGGTTTGGCTACGCTCGGTGCGAAATAAGTTCATCGCGCTTACAGACGTGACGCGTCCTGCTGCCCAAGCCCCACTCAGTGTCCTGACCAGTGTGGGCGATGTCTCTAATGAGCGCGCGTTCTCTAATCCACGGCTCTCGATGCAACTCCTAGCACTTGGCGACCTCATGCATTAGCTAGGAATGTCAAGCTCCGAGTACCAATTATCGGCAGTTATCGTCGAATGCGTCACCCTTGAGTGCTCCTGAAAAAAAAAATGTAAAATAAAGTAATGATTCGTAAGGATTCTACGCGGCTGTGTAAACTCCGTACAATTACACTGTATATCACTCTGAGTGCGTCTATAGAGATTGAGTGTTTTGCCACATCACAGGATCGTGACAGGTGGTGGCAGTGGCGTGGGGAGGCCTTCATCCAGCAGTGACCACGGCTGAGGATGATGAAAGGCAATCAATAGACAAAGGTCCCCCGAGTAGCCTACACAGGCTGCTGGGGCAAGTGCTGTTCTCCTGTAGCACCGATGAAGGCCGGCACGGCACACGGGTAGGTGAGTGGATGGCCAGCACCACTAGTGGCGATGTTTACTACACACCGCACCAGGTACTCATTTGAGGCTGAGTCGACCTAGGTGAGGGGCCCAGGAATAACACAAATGTGCCAGGATTTTTGGTAAACATGAAGGCCCAAGGCAGAATTGTTTCAGTCACTTGAGTTTAACAATGATAACATTCATGCTTTAGACTGCGTGACGCGCCGTCCCACAGAGCGGCTCGCTCTGGAAGACAGAGACGCCTCGGAGGTGCGAGGAGTAACCGGACCTGCCCACTAGCTGGATTCATCGCTCCATCTCCCCCGGACGCACCTCCCCATGGAACCCGTTCCGCCCCTCGGCTGCCACTCTGTCACATATCTTGACCTATCCCGCTGACCTCTCAACACCGTCTCAATCGTGTCCCTCATTCGTGCTGCTCTCGGTGGAACCGCGAGCATCCATCAACACCAGCGGTTCGGCAAACCAAAGTAACAAGAAGAGCCATTTCATTTTGAAATCGGTACAAAAAAAATAAACCCTAAATATTTCAAGAGCCGCGATGGTTTGCGCGGTGAATGCCAGACGGTGGTGGTCCTTCACGTGGCCGTACGTTGCCGACCCCTGATCTCGACGCGAGCCCACGACGGCGATAAGAGACGTATGTGGGGCAGGTCACGGGCTCGAAGGGACAATGGCCGGCTGGGTCAAGCCTCCTCACGATGGAACGGCAGCAGCCGAGGGCGGGAACGTGCCCGGGGACGAACACGGTCGTGGAGATGGAGTGATGAAATGTACGCACGTATGTTGAACTTCAACCGTGCTAATCGGAAGTGCGGGGGAAGGACAATAAACTAAACACTGAAAGCGGTTTTTAAGAAATTAGTTTTCAATCGGAATGATTTAATAGTGCATTGCTCAAGCGGCTTCCTAGTATCGGAAGGAAGAGCGTTCCAGACGGCCGCAGAAGCGCATCTCAAAGCACCGCGCGATGCAGTGACCCGTCTTTGTTCGATGGCCAGCCAAAAATCAGCTCGTGTACAGCAGAAGCAGCGGGGTGGATGGCTATGATGACAGGCTGCTGGGGGACTGTGTATATCACAATCATCCTGTTTATATGTTTATGTAAATAGACGATACGATAACATAAGCTTATTATAGACTAGCTTTACTACCCGCCTTTGTCTCCCCAGTGGCGATGTTCACACACCACACCAGTTA